CATCTTTTTTTACGGTGCTTTGTCAGACCTGACAGGGTGGGACCTAATCTCTGTGGGTACCTCGGAGTCACGGCGTTGCGCTGCCTCTGTGCTCGGGACACCGCTCACCCAGAGCTGCGGGCGGGCCCGGGTGGGCTTGTGCCGTGGCTGCTGCTACAGCTGCCCTGAGGAGTCGGTGGGCCTTAACGCTTTCTTGTATCGGACGCGTCAGTTAACGGACATGGTGCATCTGGACCCCCGGGGGGTTGTGTGGCCTGTGTCCAGCCAAAGCGGCTGAAAGCTCTTGCTTTATTCTGTCAACATACCCTGACCTGCTTTGGAAAGGCATCACGAGAGCCAGAGGCTAGTTCAGTTGCTGTGTCTTCTCCAGTTCTTGGTTTCTTGATCTGTTTGATAACGTGAACGGTAGCTGAGATTTTTGTGGCACAGACTGAGGTACCAAAGAGAACTACCAACCGTGACAGAAACTTTTATCAGAGATCAGTTGTTTATGCACAACACAAGCCATCTTATGGCTTTTGGGGGTCTGAGGAAGCTAAATATCAGTGTGTCTCTCGTTAGGGTTTTTTTAATGTGTTGTTGATGTTTTGCGTTTGGAAGTAATATGTTCAGCAGGTTACAGACTTGTGGTCTGAACTGAGCATCCACGCGTGGTGAGAGGGGAGGCGTTCTGCTGGAGGAGTCGTTAAAGCGCAGTGAGGTCTGTTAGGTCATGTTGGAGTCATCTGTCAAAGGTGTTGTAGGCTTTATTGTGTGGATGACTTTTTTTTTTTTTCCTTGATTTGTAGCTCCCTTGAAGGTGTTGCACTCATTTTCTAGTGAAGTGCTGATTCTGACTGAATTGGTGTGTTTAACGATGCTAGCCTAGTATTTTGTGCCAAAGGCTCTTCACAGAGCACCTTCCCTGCTGGCAACATCCTGTATTAAAGACTGATTTTTATTTCATTATTTTTAATACGGAAGTAGAATTTTCTGGGTCTGTTGACTGAAGCTGCTGCATTTTATAAATTCTACGAGTTTCTTCTGTGGATTGACTGGGGCACCGTTGCACCTTCAGTGACTTAAATGTTATGATGAAGCAGACTTTTGAGTTGCTTGGCCCTTTCAGTGAAACTCTGTGGACAAGGCTGCTGGTGAATTTTTAATCCTGGCTTTTAGTGCACTGACTTCTGATACAACTTCTGATAAAGTAGATCTTTTATCTAGAGCTGGTGCTCAGCTGTTTGTACTCTGTTTTGAGATGCAAGATAATCAGACAACCATATTTGTGAAATTTTTTAAGAGAAATTGAATGTTATTAAAGGTAGTAGCTTTATGAAAAATTGCCATGCTCAAACAGAGCATATCAACTACTAAAAAAACCTAACAAAGCCCTGAAGGCTCTGTAAAATGTTACAAAATGGTATAGTAGCCTTTCTCTTGTGCTTCCCTCTGCTCCTCTTTCAGTCTAAATCCTAACATGGAAAAGCTCCACCCTTTTAAAGACACCATATTCCTAAGGTCCAAGTACTTCATCTGTCCCCACTTCCTTCATGTTAAACACTCTGGTATGCAGAATAAACAACTGAGTAAATATCTTCTAGGTAATCCCCAAATTGAGTGCCATCACATGCTGGTTGATGAGCAGCTGAAAGCAAAACCTCCATTTCTCCTGTCTGTCCAGTGACTTGTCCAAAAATGTATGTTTATGTGGGGAAAACTGCCATCAGGTGACAATGGAAATGGAAGTGCTGTTGCTGCAACTGTCCGTTTCCTTGGCCAGCTGCCTCTGCAGAGGCCAGCGACTGCTGGTGGCTCTGCTCTTGTGTCTGAGCGGAGATGCAGTGGCAGGGGAATATGGAGAAAGCTGTGTGGTTTTTTGATTGCTCCCTCTGCCTCACGTGTTGGGAAGGGTAGCAGCATCCAGGCGTGTGGGTTTGGCACAGGTTACATCATGGAATGAGGTGAAATCTCAAAGCTGAACATGGCAGGATTAATGCTTATTCCATCTTTGTCAAGTAGTAACTTGAGGAAATTGTACCCAACTCCTTCCCCAGCGTATGTATTATCCTGTAGCACCTGCAGGAAGGGATAGGGTTTTGTGCCTGCTCTGCCCGAGTACAAAGGCACAGCCGATAGGAACAGCGGAGCAAATGGGAAGAGCAGAACTTGTTCAGCACTTGGTATGAAGTGAAGCCTTCAGAGCTTTCATCAAGCCTTTGTAACAGCCAGAATGGAAGAGGGGCTCAAACACTGTTTAATCCAGGTGCCTTTGCTAATTCTTGCATCTCTAAAACTAGAGAATGTTTTTTCTGCTGCCTCTTACTTGGTTTTCTTTCATAATAGGTGAGCCTCTTATGAGACATCCTGTTAATTAGCTGTAGAGATTGCCTTTTGACCCACGGGCAAGGGGTGACACAGAGGTGACCCCTCACTGTGCATGTGTTATGTTTTAGCGCTCTGTGTATTTCCCAGCATTTGGCTTCCTGCACTGCTGAAGACTTTGTACCTTATTCTGCATTCCCTGGGAGCAGGCGTGGCCCTCTTGTTTATGGCGCATCATGGCGAAAAGATGAAATAATCACTACCTGCAGACAATAAAAAGGGTTTTAATTGTGATGATTTTCTGAGAAATCCCCTGCTGAGTACATGATTGTCATGTCTGCTTAGATAAGCCCTGTGCTCCTAACAGTACTGTACTCTGCAGTGAGATGTGTATTGAATGAAAACGTCATCTATGAAGGTACCTACAATTCTCTTTAACTTATTAAAAGCTGAAGCAAACTTGGAAAGCCCTCAGCTAGAGGCCTGTCTGCAGTGTGGGTACAACAGCAGAGGGGGCTGCTGACTCTGAAAGCCTGATCTCTGTATTGCCCATCACACCAGTATTTGAGTCTTGCAGCACAGCAAGCTTGGCTCTGTTGGCTTCCCTTCTTTTCTTCCAGTTGTGGAGAGAAGGGGAATTTAGGAAAAAATCTGTGCTGAAAGCGATGGTAATATCTGACAATCATCCACGTAACAGAGGCAGCAATAGCAATGTTCTTGGTAGACTTCTGGAGTGCTGTCCTCAGATGAGAGCTGGCATCGAAGAGCAACTTTTTTTTTTTTAGCATGAAAATCCTGGTGTAAAACTTTTTCTTTTAATGTACTGAAAAGTTTTATTAGTGGAGGGGATGTTTATTTTTAGTAAATGCTCTTCCAAAGACAGATTTTGCTATTTCCTGAAGGTGTTACAACCCCGAGTTGCTGCTGGCATGTAAAAGTCCACACCACATCAGAGCTCTTTGTCGTGAATACCTTATCCTTGGCTCACGCAGGGTTCCTGCAGCACTCTGCGACCCAAGTGTCCTAAATTAGCGCTGTTGCCCTGTGGTTTGCTGGACAGAGTTCTTCTGTCATCATGGTAGGACTGTACACCGCTTTGGAGAGGTAGACACAAAGCCTTAAATTAGCTTCAGAAGCTGACTTGGAGGGCTGTGGGAAGTCTTGCAGGTTGTCTGTGAACGCCAGTGGAGGTGCAGTGAGTTGCAGGGAGTCAAACATTTGTCACCTCCAATCTGAATTACAGGTTGGGCCCTTGCCTGTGAGGAAGGGGTGGTATTTCCTGACACTGGAGGTGAAAGGAGGCACAGATAGCTGTGCATACCACTTGCCTCCGAAGCTCAGTATGGAATTGCAGCATCTCAAGCATTTGTATAAACATTTTGTATAAAGATTTTGTGCATCTCAAGCTTTTGTTACAAACTGGGAGGCTGAGTGCAGACAGGAGATGAAACGAATGTCTTGGCTATGGCTTTCAAATCAAACTTGAATTCAGTTTGTGCCTAAAAGTTGGAATTTTTTGAGTTAGGGGCATTCTAGAGCTGATGGTAGTGAGTGTATGGAGGGGCTTGTGAGCTCCGGGGGTCGGAGGTCATTGTTTGCAGGAGGCTTTGGAGAGGCAGAAATAACATGGATTTTTGCAGGACCTTCAGTGAAGAGTCGTCACCTACATGAAAATACGCTGATGTGATGGTTCTTGCAATAATACAGCATCTTGGTTTATTGATGGGGTATTGAATCTCTCTGCAGCCTTCAAGAGTGAGGCTTAAAAGTGGAGACCTTGTCTGTTATGTAACGCAGAAGTAATTTTGTCATTGCTGTTAGTGTGGTCTCTGTGCAATACCTTGTTGTGAACAGTCTTCTTTGAGTGCAAGGCAATAAAGTTTGTATTTTGTTTTGAAATAAAGCTTTACCTGCTGCCATTGTATAGGGGTTACTTTTGTAAATGGTTAATTTTATAAATCTTTTCACACTAATACCTTACTAAATCCCTGGATAAGAAGTTGCATACTTGTAGCTTTAAAAAGATAAATATTGGTAAAACCCATGCAAGGCTCTAGTCCCCTTTCAAAAACAACACTGGTACAAAAAGCTGGTTACTTGAAAGGGTTGGTTATTTGGCATAATATGTAAACTGTTCCTCTGGGTTAAATGTGGATGAGCTCTACTGCGGGGTGGCCAAGTGCAGAGTATCTTGCTCCTCACTGATGAGCACTTTAGTGCCGTGAAGTTGGCTTTAGTGTTCTGGATGCATTTGTAATAGGCTTGACTATGCATAGCAAAAATGTGATGTTTTAGCTTTGGCTTTTTTCTTTACAGCTTGTTCAAAGTCTGGGAAACAGAAGAATTTGTAATGGGAGATAGTCCTGCAATGCTCCAGGTTGAGGTGCTGCTTACTAAACCAGTAGAAAAAAATCTGCCCTTTGGGGCAGAGTTAGTTTTGTTCTCTCAGTGAGCCAAGCACAAGCATGGCGTGGTTGGGCAAGGGCCAGAGTTGGCACAAAGGAGGTGCAGGGCTCCTCAGCTGGTGTGGAGAGATGGACTGCCATTTCTGTTGCCAGCTGAGATCTTTAACTTGTTGATTTGCAAGTGTTGCCTAGTAATGGGGTTTAGA